AATCTTTGGGGCTTAGGTTTAGGTTTAGGGTTAATTTTAGGTTTAGCGTTTACAGCATGCTTCTGTCTCCGCGCTGTTGTTGCCCTGTTGATGACGTCAGCTACGCGGTTTCGTTGAACGCGGTTTTGTGGTGGAACCGTGAAACCACGCCCACCTTTGATCCGCGGAAAAACCTTTCTCCATGGCACCAATCCCTGGTGCCCCAAAGATTGGGGGGCAGCTGATCTACTGGGCACATGTTGTTGTTTTGAAAGAAATTTACTGCCCAGCCATACACCCAGATAATCCCTCAAACAAAATATGCACCTCAGCAAAAAAAAAAGCCACTAGACAATGGCAAACAAGATCCTTGTCCCTCAGGGCTAATATTACAAACACTTGACGGCACATTTTGGGGTACAAACATATTGGGAGTCCTCGACTTATGACCACAATCTGGACCAGAATTTTTGTTGCTAAGCAAGGCAGTTATTAAGTTTGTTGTGTCCAATTTTTTATTTTTTATTGCCAAAAAAAGAATCCCTCCAATTACGGTCGTTAAGTGTATACAACTTCCCCCATTTGAGTTTGTTGGAAGGGGCTGGGAAGGTTGCAAATAGTGATGACCCTGGGATGCTACCACCATTCTAAACACAGGATGGTTACCAAGCACCCCAAATTCTGATCACGGGACCATGGGGTGCTCGCAAATGTGAAGACCACTTGTAAGTCGCTTTTTTCCCCAGTGCGATTGTAAATCCAAACGGCCGCTAAATGAATGGCTGTTGAGTCGAGGACTACCCTTATGCCCACCTCATCTGACTCTAACCCTTTCAGAGTACAGAGAAAACTCCACAAAGTGGCAAAAACAATTTGTTCAAAGCGAAGCAAAAGCTGGGCCTGCAAGTCTCACCAATTCTCAGTAGTCTGGTTTAAGGAGGAAGAGAAAACTGTCTTACCGTCGAGCAATGTAATAGAAGACAGGATTGCCAGCTTTCGTCGTCCCGGCTTGGTAAAAAATGTTGAGGGTTTTCAAGGCTTTGAACTCTTCTTTCTCGTGTACCTGGTGCCTAAGGACAAAAATATAGGCAGGAAAGCGGTCATTTACCCTTCTTGTGATTGTACCAGAGATTTCCTAAACTTTGCACCTAGTGGATCTATTTGGAAGTATAAGTCACTGAAGCTGCCACAAAATGGTACCCGGATAAATATAACATAGCATAGCAGAGTTGGAAGGGACCTTGGAGGTCTTCCAGTCCAATCCCGATTAGACAGGAAACCAGAGATGGTATTCTGGAGAACTGGTAGCGGAACTTTTGGGTAGTTTGGAAAACCGGTAAATACTACCTCTGGCTGGCCGCGCCCCCAGCTATTCTCTGCCTCCCGAGTCCCAGCTGATCG